AGACTGATCCCCGTTACCTCCTCAATCTCGCGTAATATGCGTTGCAGCAGTTGAAGGTCATCACAGCAGTCATCTGACAAAGTGAAGCGTCACGCAACGGGGCCGGAAAGGATTGAGGAGACAATACTGCAAGTCACTGCGAAAATAACAGGCCTGACACCGGTCTACAACCTCGAAAAGCGAAGCAAGTCTGCAATCATTTCGCAAATTACTTGTGTTCCACAGAGTAGGAACCACGAAGCCATTGCGAACGAATCGCATGAAGAAAAGCTTCAACTCCTCCGCCAGCTCGCTCAAGGCACCGGTCTTCATCGGACGCTGCCAGACCACCTTCAAATAAGAACACACATGTGTAACAACGAAATGTTTTTCGGGTCATCAGAATGAGCGCACCATACTACGAGAATAATTTTCCAGTGATTGCTCCAGAAAACATGGCACCAACACGAAGGGTTTGGGGGTGGTTGAACGAAACAGAGACAGGAGAAATTTTCACCTGCTCACATTCGTCGAAGACTGTGAAGGAGCCGTACACTGGTCTTGTGCGCTCCTCGCCCGCTTTTGCCCGGAGCCGGATGATCTTCGCAAACTTAAACGAAGAATCCCCACCCAGAATGTCTCCGTCCCAGCGCTGCATCAAGCGGTGGTGATACTCCTCCAGGGTCCAATCCACGCTATCCACCTCCAGCACGGGGAGTTTTGAGAAATAAAACCGCCTCACGTGCCGCAAATAGTGCTCCGACGGGACCGCACCGCCGTACTTTGTCGAGTCATCAAAACTGCCGAACCTCTCCGGCGTTTTGGCGAGGTTGGCCGAGCGGAAGATGCCCGAGCTGGTCCGCCGGGTGTTGACCAGAGAGGTGTACTTCAGCTGGTCCACCATGAACTTGGTCGTATGCGCCTGCAACAGCATTGCGAGGGCGACACGTTTTCGTTGTAGCACAGGTCGGCGCTTATGAGATCTAACATTTCCCGCAGTTGCGGTACCATCCGCAAATGTTTTGAACAGGCTAGGAAAGCCAAGACCAGACCAACCCGCTATCTTAAGACGCTGCAGATGAGACACTGCATATTCACCTGACGAATGTTCTTGGCAGCAGCTGAGAAGCCCTTCCCATGCACCAAATCATCTGCAAGCCGGTCCACCATGCAAATCTCAATGCCCGATCGCTTGGTGAGAAGGAAAGGGAACTCCTTGGAGATGTACTCCGGGAGACGCCGGAGGCACCCAGCATCCCACGCGTTGACTCTCGTCTTGCGCGTTTCCGCCTCCTGCTTGCCTTTATTGAACTCCGCGCCCTTCGCACACTTGTACCTGCACGTGCATGGGACAAAACATACACCACGAGCAATATCGTCGGAAAACCACAACACGAACTCCAATCTACCAGAAACCCAGAATTCGTCGTATGCCACGAAAGGATGTCATGACTGATGAAGTTTATCGAGCANACTCCGCACTTCGCACACTTGTACCTGCACGTGCATGGGAGAAAATATACACCACGAGCAATATCGTCGGAAAACCACAAGACGAACTCCAATCTACCAGAAACCCAGAATTCGTCGGATGCCACGAAAACATGACTGATGAAGTTTATCGAGCGAACACTCTTCGTCGCATGCTGAACTTACCGAAACCCCATCACGTACGCCACGTCGTGATCCATGAACACCCGGCGTGGCCCCTTAGGGTTCCAGCCATCAGGTGCGCCCCTTGCCCCCATATCCTGGACAAGGAACTGCCTGGAGCTCTGGGAACAAGAACTCCGGTATCCATACCAATACCGCCTTCTGATAAAACCGGTCGAGTTTCGGTAGGTCTGGGCGCGCGTAAATGTGAGGTAGATATGGCAGAACATCAGGCACGCGAGANAGCCATCAGGTGCGCCCTTGCCCCCACATCCTGGACAAGGAACTGCCTGGAGCTCTGGGAACAAGAACTCCGGTATCCATACCAATACCGCCTTCTGATAAAACCGGTCGAGTTTCGGTAGGTCTGGGCGCGCGTAAATGTGAGGTAGATATGGCAGAACATCAGGCACGCGAGACAAAAAAATAGCCCACCGGGGGATGGGATGTATTTTCCCTGGACGATATAATCTGAAAAGAAA